TGTTTATATCAAATTGATCAGTGAGATCATCAGACTCTTCATCAGGTGCATCATTTAATTTCTGAAAATATGTAAAAAATTCCTCGAGTGGTGGTAAATCTTTATCTTTATTATCATTTCGCAACACTTTCAAAAATGATTTTAGAGTCCTCTTTACGTAATTTAAATAATTTGTCCTGTATGTCAGATCTATGAAGGTTGTGATATTTTGCCAAAGTGTTTTTGTAAGCCTTGCTTGCATTGATGAGCCTTCTTGTGTTTTGGACACTTTTATGTTTTTGAAATATTAATTTAGCCTGATTATATTCACCTCTACTGATCTTACAATCACGACTGGCGAGAATCAATTACATCATGAAATTGAGAAGCATGTCGTTTGTCCCAGCGTCGGTAGGTGCACATGGAGTCCGTGTCCTTGAGTCCTTGAGTCAGCTTCTGTCCTTGATTGACAGTTCATGTTGACGTCACACATGTTGATACTCAATGTCAAAGCACAATGGGCATCAGACAGAATAGGGTCAAAATCTAGGACACTAAAATCACATATTTTTTTCAGTAAATTCAATGAACAAATACTATAATCAACTAAGCTACAACCTTTACAAGTTGCTTTACCAATGTGTTTGTCATCACCAAAACGACCATTTATGATAAACAGATTATTATTTCTACAAATATCAATCAATCTGTAGCCATGGTTGTTTGCTCTGATGAGTGTCTATTGATGTCTATTCCAAGTGAAGAGAACAAAGATAGTACACCAGTTTCATCAAAAACATCATCAGGAATTCCAATGTAATCACAAACCGTCTGTGTAATTTCAATAAAATCTAATATAGTTCTTGTTCTTGCATTGAAGTCTCCCAGAAGTACAATTTCACACTCATTTGCATATTTATTTAAATCACTCTCAATGTCAACAAATAAGGAGATATTGAAATATGGGGAATTTTCTGGGGTAAAATATACTGCTCCAATAAGCAAGTCTTTTTCTGTTTGAAGTATATCTTTGGAAACTTTTATCCACAGGACACACTCTGTATTAGTGTGTATACATTTGATATATTTATTCAAGAATTTCTTAGCTAAAATTGCAATACCTCCTGATCTGACTCTAGAGTCTCTGTTTCTAACATACACATCATAGCAGGACACGGCCATAACTAACCACCAACACATCACAGTATAAAGCCGGAAACTGTTATCTTGAAACACGGCCTCTGATGGAGGCGGGGGGCACGGGGGGCCCAGTCGTCTAAGGCGCCGCGATTCGCTGTGCAGAGTTGCGTCCCCTGGGCACGCCAGAAACCTATGATTGTGGGTTCGAATCCCGGTTCCCCCCGATTACGTTTCTAGGTTTGTCAGCACCATACCCGTGATCGTGGGTTTCACCGAAGTGGTAAAAGTCTGAGACCTGCATCACTTCGGGATTTCCTCCCACATTAAGCTGACACGCCGCGATATAACCGGAAAACTGTTAAAAGCGGCGTTAAACCCACCTAAACTCAACTCACTCACTCACTCTGATGGAGGCCCGGCGTATAAGTTCTGGACAGAGCGTATAACCCGACGACAATCAGAAGCCTCGTGTACTGGAGGGCAGGCGTCTAATACAGGAAATGCGGTATTTAAAATAGCTCTTCACAAGAGTGAGCGAGTATGGCTTTACTTCGATTTTAGCAATATTCCAGCAATATCACGGCTGGGGACACCACAAATGGGCTTCACACATTGTACCCATGTCGGGAATCGAACCCAGGTCTTCGGCGTGACGAGCGAACGCTTTAACCACTAGGCTACTTGACCGCCCCGCTCTTCACAAGATGGCGACTGGCCGATCAGGTAGCTAGATTCTTTTACTAGCAATGACACATTTGATACAGGAACTCGTCTCAAAACCTAGATATCCCGACAAAGTGTTTATGAGTTTAATACTGCACCTTGGACAGTGCATACCACTAATACTGTTCGTGTCAAAGGGTATTTTTGTATCTTCGTGACAAAAGGGTAACGTGTAACATACATGTGGGTTTTCAATAACGTTAATCAAAGTTCCAGGGAATAGCAGTTGATCGGAGCCGAGTCTCCCTTTAACTCCATGACATCACTAAGGGTCTTTGTATCCTCGTTCAGATTTCCCAAAGCTTTGTGCTCTTTTTCTCTCCTCATTTCCATGGAAATAAGACAAATCTTCTCTACCTATTCTACCCCGGATCTTCACAGGTCGCGAACGCAATAACACGTATTTTCGACTCGGCTGCCCCACACTCTTTGGAAATAACTGATTGTGGTACAAGTTATGTGCAGTGTCCTGCATGTATTCCTAGTTTACTGCTGGCTGAGTTGGCAAATCCCCCGAGACATACAAAACAGAGCCGAGCAATAACGAGGCGAATAAGGCCGTTATCACACATTGCTTGTCAGCGAAAGTGACGAAATAATTGTGACCACCATGCGTGACCCTCGAAACCCCGGTGCATTTGTTCCCTTCGCACTTCACAGCTATTACTGAGGTCCGTGGACAAACCTGTTGTCATTCGTAAGGACGTCGTGTAAGAAAGGTCCGTGGACAAACCTATTGTCATTTGTGAGGAAGTCGTATTAGTAAGGTCCGTAGACAAGCCCACTGCCATTTATACGGAAGTCGTATTAGTAAGGTCCGTGGGCAAACCTACTGTCATTTGTAAGGAAGTCGTATTAGTAAGGTCCGTGGACAAACCTACTGTCATTTATACGGAAGTCCTATTAGTAAGGTTCGTAGACAAGCCTACTGTCATTTGTAAGGAAGGCATATTAGTAAGGTCAGTGGACAAACCTACTGTCATTCGTAAGGAAGTCGTGTTAGTAAGGTCCGTGGACAAACCTACTGTCATTCGCAAGGAAACCGTATTAGTAAGGTCCGTAGACAAGCCTATTATCATCTGACAAGCCTACTGTCATTTGTAAGGAAGTCGTATTAGTAAGGTATGTGGATAAACCTAATGCCATTTTAAGGAAGTCGTTTTAGTAAGGTCCGTGGACAAGCCTACTGTCATTTGTAAGGAAGTCGTATAAGTAAGGTCCGTGGACAAGCTTACTGTCATTTGTAAGGCAGTCGTGTTAGTAAGGTCCGTGGACACGCCTACTGTCATTTGTAAGGAAGTTGTATTAGTAAGGTCCGTGGACAAACCTACTGTCATTTGTAAGGCAGTCGTGTTAGTAAGGTCCGTAGACACGCCTACTGTCATTTGTAAGGAAGTTGTATTAATAGGGTTCGTAGACAAGCCTACTGCTATTTGTGAGGAAGTCGTATTAGTAAGGTCCGTAGACAGGCCTACTGCCATTTATACGGATGTCGTATTAGTAAGTTCCGTGGACAAACCTACTGTCATTCGTAAGGAAGTCGTTTTAGTAAGGTACGTGGACAAACCTACTTATATTTGTAAGGAAGTCGTATTAGTAAGGTCCGTGGACAAACCTACTGTCATTCGTAAGGAAGCCGCATTAGTAAGGTCCGTAGACAAGCCTATTATCATCTGACAAGCATACTGTCATTTGTAAGGAAGTCGTATTAGTATGGTCTATGGATAAACCTAATGTCATTTTAAGGAAGTCGTTTTAGTAAGGTCCGTGGACAAGCCTACTGTCATTCGTAAGGAAGCCGCATTAGTTAGGTCCGTAGACAAGCCTATTATCATCTGACAAGCCTACTGTCATTTGTAAGGAAGTCGTATTAGTATGGTCTATGGATAAACCTAATGTCATTTTAAGGAAGTCGTTTTAGTAAGGTCAGTGGACAAGCCTACTGTCATTTGTAAGGCAGTCGTATTAGTAAGGTCCGTGGACAAGCCTATTGTCATTTGTAAGGCAGTCGTGTTAGTAAGGTCCGTAGACACGCCTACTGTCATTTGTAAGGAAGTCGTGTTAGTAAGGTCAGTGGACAAGCCTACTGTCATTTGTAAGGAAGCCGTATCAGTAAGGTCCGTGGACAAGCCTACTGTCATTTGTAAGGCAGTCGTGTTAGTAAGGTCCGTAGACACGCCTACTGTCATTTGTAAGGAAGTTGTATTAGTAAGGTTCGTGGACAAGCCTACTGTCATTTGTAAGGAAGTCGTGTTAGTAAGGTATGTGGACAAGCCTACTGTCATTTGTAAGGAAGTTGTATTAGTAAGGTCTGTGGACAAACCTACTGTCATTTGTAAGGCAGTCGTGTTAGTAAGGTCCGTAGGCACGCCTACTGTCATTTGTAAGGAAGTTGTGTTAGTAAGGTCCGTAGACACGCCTACTGTCATTTGTAAGGAAGTTGTATTAGTAAGGTCCGTGGACAAACCTACTGTCATTTGTAAGGCAGTCGTGTAAGTAAGGTCTGTGGACAAACCTACTGTCATTTGTAAGGCAGTCGTGTTAGTAAGGTCCGTAGACACGCCTACTGTCATTTGTAAGGAAGTTGTGTTAGTAAGGTCCGTGGACAAACCTACTGTCATTTGTAAGGAAGCCGTATCAGTAAGGTCCGTGGACAAACTTATAGTCATTTGTAAGAAAGGCCTCGAAAAAAGAAATACTCCAAACATACGAAACTAACAAAACCTAAATAGCATGCATATCGGACAGAGCAAATGTAACATGCTACTGACTGAAAATGTTCATAAACAACTGTTATTGTACATAGATAGTTCAGATAACCATAAGATATTGAACATTTCTGTTTTCAGCGAAAGGACCAGACTAATTGTCTGATTTGATTGCGATGTGCCAGCGCTGGTAAAATCTCCCATAACCATTCAATAAATCATTCTGAAGTAGCTCACAAACACAGCCAGCTAAAAGATCATACATACAATAAGTGCGACACACACTGGTCTATACGTAAATACTGTACCTACAACGATGGCCCTATTGACTGCAGTGACCTGCAGTGTAAGCGCGAAGCCCAACAACTCCTTCGCTCCTTATGAATGAGCGTAACTGTCGCAGCGGTCACGTGACATTGGTGACCAATATAAATACTTGTCAAACACTTCGCACGAGCAATAGATGCTGCTTGCTCGCCTTGAGTCGTCTGCTCGAACACGGTGCTTGTTCTACACAATAATTACATCTTTGCTCATCGGATAATTACTATGGAGGGGTATTTCATTTACGTGGCCAACAAACTTGATTCAATAAGGTTCGGCCCTAGTTCAGGTGGAAAATTATTTGATTTGCGAGAGGTAAAAACTCTTTCATTTTGGAGAGCAGTTTCAGCCGAATTTTTGGCGACGATGATGTTTGTTTTTCTCGGATCTGCGTCTGCGATTTTCGACAGCGATAAAGTCAAGGTAGGTAGATTTATTTGTTTTTATTGTATCTAGTTGTTTACATCGTTTATAGATTACCTGGATTTCTTTGATGCCTTACCTCTATTTCTTACCTGTGCGAACAATGACAAAGGTCATTTCCAATCTTTGTGTCCCGAGAAGACATAGATCGATAATTTCCGCCATCCCGAGAAGAGCTTGCTAATCCTTCGTCATAAGCGTTTGAATAAGAAACATACAGATTCACTTCTACAATTTGCTTCACTATCGATTAGAATTGCGTTTGCGCTAAATGGTCTGGGGTTGAGGGGTTGTCTTGGGGAGACTTCCAAATTCTGTTAATAGTGGTGCTAATAGACGATGCACTGTGCGGTTAGACGTCCTGGCTCGTGTAAGAGGCACCATTTCAAGGACAAGATCACCAATAGCCGGAAATCCGACTTCCCAGGCGGTTACGCTTTGAGGAATAATTTTTGTATATACATGTATATATATATGCAGATTCTCTCTATAGTGTGTACACAGAACGATATCACTATATTCCCATGATATATTTCCCCTGGACAATTGATCCCGAAGATTTCACCGGGAGCGGTTCTGTCCGGATAATGGAGGTTTCGCTATATAATGTGGGTGTTTATAAGTATATGATAAAACACGAGTCCTCAGTTTTGGTTGAAAATGTAAAACCGCCAGCGAGGGAAAAGCCCGAGCTCAAGGTTTTACATTTGCACCCCAGACTGAGGAAGCGTATTTTATCCAACTTATGAACCGTCTAAATGCAAGAAACCCAAAAAAAGAAAACATCGACATACCTTATAGTGAAAATATACAGTGTATCGCGATATAAAAGGAATTCGCTCAAATGTGCGAGAGGTACGCCACATGCAGCAGGGACTAGCTGGAGTCATGACATGATAAATTTACAGCTTCTCAGCACTTGAGGTTGCAGGTTCGCTTCATGTCATGGAATTTCATGCAAAAGAAAATTGTGACTTTTGTTTGTTGTTTAATGCCGCACTCAGCAATATTCCAGCTATCTGGCGGTAAATAATCGAGTATGGACCAGACAATCCAGTGATTGACATCATGAGCATCAATCCACGCAATTGGGATACGATGACATGCATCAACCAAGTCACCGAGTCTGACCACCCGATCCCGTTAGTCGCCTCTTACGACAAGCGTAGTCGCCTTTCACGGCAAGCATGGGTTGCTGAAGACCTATTCTACCCCGGATCTTCACGGGTCACACTCTACTCACTAACTCTCATAGGATGTCACAGCGAGACGGATTTGTTTTAACACCCAACAGCGTAGTAGATTAGTTTCCGTTAAATTGCAATTGGTATGCACGCTCCACACAATTCCTACACGGAGGCTACTTACTACAGTCAAGTCCATTTTATTATTCGGAAGAAGAACATGAGGTTCACTGCGTCTTACATGTCATAATTATCAGTATTTATGTCCCTCAAGCATTACATAACTGAAATCTGATTTACAATTTTAATGACAATTATTTCAACGAACAACAGCGAGAGAATATCTCACGAAATTTACTATTTTTTCTTACTGACCGAAGTGTTATATTTCAAGGATTTCAGTCGGAGTATGTATGTATGTAGGTCAAAGTTACTTGTGGTGTGCTCCGATGTTCACCGGGGCTAGGGATCACTTCTCCTTAAATTTCCTTGTCAACTGGACCCACTACAAATCGGTGATGACTTCTTCGCTTTGTCAGCATAATAACCCATTAAAGTGTGTTAATTCCTTTGCAACGACAATAAGCACTCGGCCGAAGACGAAATGTGAACATTGTATTGATGTTGAATGCGTGACAGAGCCGTGAAGTGATGTCTGTTTATTGCTTAACTCCGCACTCGGCAATATCTCAGTTTTATGACGGCGGTCTGAAAAAATTCGAGCCTGGGCCAGACAATCCAGTTACTGACATCAAGAGAAGAGAGGAGCCGTGAAATGAAGAAAAGTACTTATCAGATAAACGACGGTACTTACTAAATATTTGGGCATATTCATGTTTTGGTTACTCGTCACTTTTGAAATAAACTTTTGGATTTATATTTACCATTTTTAGATTTCTATATGTTATAATTCTCCAGCTAATGTCAAGAATTATTAGACTTCATTACAAATATTGAACATTTAAAATTGAAGATTTGTTTATAAATAATATAGATATGTTTGGGTCAGGCGGTAGTGCATAGCAGAAATTAAACATACAACTATGAAAATACCTTCATGTGATAACTATGTGATAATATTAGAGGGTCATAATCGCGACAAATCATGGATTCGAACGTATCAGCGGATCCTGGCACGGCTAATGGTGTCGTTAAGCTGTGGGCGCCGTAGGCCACCCGGTTACCCTTGCTTTCACAGTCCTATTGTCGAAACCAAGTGAAAATTGAATAAACGGAACAACATGCGCGACCGAATCCAATACAGAGGTATCCTACTGTATTCATATTTCTAAGGCGTTGGGCAGAGTTGCGTCCCTTAGCCATGCAAGAATTCACTGAACATGGGTTCAAATCTCATATTTGATCTCTGAAAACGGACCGCCGAAGCAAGAACGACGTCTACCGTGTATAAATCCTCAAACATGTTTTTGAATCATCCGGCGTTGTTAAAATAAATCATAAAGTCCGGGCTCGAGTTGATTTGAAACGAGAAATACGGGACTTGCGCTGTACCTGACGTTATGATTTCGTGTTCTTGAAGCAGCTGACGGTTGTAGCGCCTGGGGCGTTACGTCAGAACACAGAATACGTAAGTGTACGTGTAACATGTCAATTATCATTGCCGATGTACGCTCTGACGCAGAATAACAAGGAGGCCATCAACACGATACCGCATACCATGGCCCCATTTCAAGACGACCGTAACACACAGGTTAACATAGATTTACGACAGTCGTAGCGATGGATACTATACAGGGGTGTTTTCGCTGGCTCAGAGCTCTTCCAGTTTGTTTTCTTGTCATATTTTGTTTTTCAGATTGTTTATGTTTAGAAATATTTGATGATGCATAATCCAAAACCATATCGTCGATACAATTTCTCCTAAAATACAAATTACATAATATAATGGATTTAAAAAATTTCAAATCATATGTGTTTAAGTACATCAAATGTTTCTATTGTAAAGGTATTTTGTCAAAGGTTATGTGGTACATGTAAACACGAAGTAATAAAGTATCAGCGGCCCCTTCGTGTTTTTATACTAATAACGCTTATAAAAATAATTTTTCAAAGGAAAAGGTTTGGCGTAATTTAAATTCATCATCGGACTTTAATAAAACCTTATGAAGCCGTGAATCGTAGCTGAACATTATCGTCTAGTCGATGTCGGATAGTAAAGGCGGATTAGTTTCGTTTGTTTGTTGTTTAACGCCGCACTCAGCAATATTCCAGCTGTATGACGACGGTCTGTAAAATAATCGAGTCTGGATCAGACAATCGAGTGATTGACATCATGAGTATCTATCCACACAATTGGGATCGATGACATGTATCAACTCAGTCAGCGAGCCTGACCACCCGATCCCGTTAGTCGCCTTTTACGACAAGAATGGGTTGCTGAAGACCTATTCTACCCCGGAATCTTAACGGGTCGCGGATTAGTACTTCGCTATGATTTCACAGCAGTTTTGATTCTATGTCAACCTCTCGCTAATCGCCCATTTGCCTCAACATCCGACCAGGCAATGTAAATTGATACATCTAATGTACAGCTACGTATTCCTGTGATCTGTTTACTATGTGTAAACAAATGCACAGTGGTGTCGTGAGCCTAATAACCGCAATATTGCGGTTTAGATTAAGGGGCGTTACTGATGCGTTATCCCAAGTACGTCCTTAATCCATACTAACACAACGAGGAATATATCAGCGGTAACGACTGGGCATTCTGAGGTCGGACTGTCTTAATTGAGTCTGGGTAATTGTGTGAAGAGCAGTCATAAGCTTATAAACCTGACTATCATTGATGTTTCAGACCGATAATCAAACTGTAGTTAATGTTCAAATATATTCCGTCAAATTACGTCACCAGTAGGCCGTGGGCTAGGTATGACCCACGAGCACCCCCCACACATCCAAACCCCACTTAATTTTTTTAAAGCCCATAAACATACTAAACATGATTTTGAATGTTAACAAGAAAAAAGTTGGGACGAACTTGTTGTTACAGCCTTTCAAAGTATGGTACCCAATATCGCGTTTTCGCCCGGTTTTGCCGTATATCACTTGGGGGTATGATTACGTTTTGGGTTGTCATCTCACTAGTGATCCACTGATCGTCAAGTGTGATATACCACTGGAATCCATATATAAATACCTCTCCAATGAGGTATCAATAATTGGTATTGAGTGAATATGGACCAACCCATGGCAAATCGAACGTCATACATCCCGACGAAACTAAATTCTTCTCGCAGAAACCTTTAATCCGGTATATGTTCTAGGTACGTGTGCCTGATTCCACTATAATCTTCTAACACATGTTCCAGTACATCTCTTGAAGTACGTACTTAACATGTGATGTTACCAGGTGAAAATCTTTTGCACAATTTGGAACAAATTTACTCTTATAATGTCAGAGTAGGATACCTAATATTGCATTCTCGGCTTAGCTACATCGGAACAACGCTAGGATGTATGCTCAGGATTTGGCTTGTCATCTTGTGTGTTATTCACCGACCTTGATGTGTTATATGCTATAGGAAACCTTATATAAACACCATAATTTGATGTAGGCTGATTATTGATCTACTTTTGGACAATCGTATAGAATACTTCTTGACAAATCTGATATCACTCACTTTTGTATGCATATAAGAGGTTCACAGCATAATGCTCGAGTCGATTTCAGAATTTTGAATGAAATGGACCTATGTGTAACATATTCAAGATGGCAACCATAAAGCTGTGCAAAAAAACTTATCATAATGTAAATGTTATTTATTTCAGCAAATATACAAATCAATTTCTTGGACG